CGGGTTCGGGACCCGCCCGGGCCGCCGGGCGAGCCCTCGCCTCCGCCACAAATCAGAAAATCGGCCGGGCGTGGTAGCGCGCGCCGTCAGTGGAGTTACAGCGCTGGGGCGGGGAGAGAAACGAAAGGCAGTGTTCCTCCGAGCCGGCAGAAACGGGTACAGGCCTGGAAGGCTGAGGCGGAGGGTCGCCGGGCGGCGGGTGGACGCCGGGGTGGCCGCGGCCTCCGGGCCGGCGCCGGGCGGGCAGGGAGAGAGGAAGCGTGTGTCGCGCACACACACGGGCAGGCGGACGGGAGCAAGCGCCGTGACGCGCCATGGCCTCACCGTGTTTAGCTCCACCGCTGCGCGACTTAGCGGTTCAAGACCTGGGTCCTGATCGTACGCAGGCCGGCCGTGCCGTCTTTTTCGTTGGCGTCGGAGTCTCACTGCGTCGCCCAGACCGGAGCGCGGCGGCCCCGCCGCCTCCGCCTTCCGGGTAGCCGAACCGCCGGCGCGCGACACCGCCCCGGCTGACTTCTTTTGATTTGCTGTCGAGATGAGGTCTCGCCGCCCAGGCGGGTCTCGAACCCGCGGGCTCGCGCCATCCCCTCACCCCAGCCTCCCGAAGGCGCGGGATGGCGGGCTGAGCCACCGGGCCCGGCTAATGCTGATGTGTAAAATGTTACTGTTTTAAGAAATTTGCGTCCTGCCTTGATTCCTCGTGCTCATCCTGTGTGTTCTTTTCTAGCGCCAGCGTTTTCCCGAGTGGGTCGTCTTCGCGATCCTTCGGAACAGCGCTTGAAAGGCCCGCCCACTGCAGCCTTGGGCACCTGTTAACGCCGACAAGGAAGTGAACGCCCCGCGCCAGGCCTTTGTTTTTCTTACGGCTGTCTTATCTCCCCCACAACACACCCTGCGTGTCCTTAGGTTAAGTTGTTAGAAGTGGGGTCAGTGAATCTGCCCTATTACCTTTCTAAATAGTGTTGTATCGAGCGTTACAGTAAGCCTTACAGTAGGCCGGAAGCGAACGTTCAGTTACAGATTTGTGGAGGGCTGCATGACTGCCTCACCCGTTGGGATCTCAGCGCTCCCCACACCAGCTGTCCCGGCCACTTCTTCAGGCCTGTTACCTCTCCCTGAAGTGAGGTAATAGCAGCTGCCTCCGCTGTATCATATGTAAGGTACTAAGAGGAGGACTTGGCACACACAAGAACTCCAGTCATCAGCTTTCGAACTTCACCGGGCATTGTATGAGGGATGCTAACTCCATGACCACATTATCAAGGACCTGCTTTCTAAAGCCATGAAAAGATTTTTAGTTTTAAAGATGTGGGGCACAATTCAGGGTTTAGGTGTACAAATGTTCATTATGCAGGCACCCTAGTTGATGAGGTGTGCCCCCCACAGTGGATTCCCACTACTGCCAACCCTTTTCTTATTGTATTATAATCGTTCAAGGTCCACTTATAAGAGAGATGTAATACTCGGGTCTTTGTTTCCGTGATTACATCGTATTAAAGATTCTAAGTCGATCCAGGTTGCTGTGAAGTTCATAATTTTGTCCTTCTCTATGGCTGCATAATATTCCATCACGTATATGTACCACATTTTTTTAGATCCAGTGCTCTTTCGATGGGCAGCACAGTTGGTTCCATGTTCTTTTTACTGTGAATAACGCTGCAGTAAACATGCATGTGCAGGTGTCTTTTTCAGAGAGGGATTTGAGTTCCTCCAGGTTCATTTCTAGTAGTGGGATTGTGGGGTCGTATGGAAGGTCGCCTTTTATTTAGATCTTTAAGGAATCGCCACTGTTTTCCACAGAGGCTGTACTAGTCTACACTCCCATCAGCAGTGCAGAAGTGTTCCCCTTTCACCACATCCTCTCCAGCATCTGTTGTTTTTTAAGTTATTGATGACGGCCATCCTGACTGGAATTAGGGGGTATCTCATTGTGGTTTTAATTTGCGTTTCCTTGATGACTAGTGAGGCTGAGCATTTTTTCATGTCTCTGTTGTCTGCTTGTGTGTCTCCTTTCGAAAAGTGTCTATTCATCTCTTGCTCACTTTGTAATGGGGTTGTTCTTTTCTTTTCAGCATGTTTGAGTTCCTTGTAGATCCTCAATGTTAGGCCTTTGTCAGACATACAGTTGGCAAATATTTTTTCCCAGACTGTGGGCTATCTCCCTGACCTCTTGGTGGTTTCTTTGGCTTTGCAGAAGCTCATTAATTTGATGAGGTCCCACTTGTCTATCTTATCTCTTATGGCATGGGCACTTGGGGTTTTGATGAGGAATTGGTTGCCAGTTTGAGTTTCCTTAAGGGTGTCTCTAAGAATCTTACGGTTTGAGGTTTTACGTTTAGGTCTTTGATGCATTTAGAGTTGATTTTTGTGTATGGTGGTAGGTATGGGTCTTGTTTTACTCTTTTGCATGTGGAATGACCTACTTTTCAAGTTCTGTTTAATAGATGAGCAGTAATAATACACTGCTGATTTTAAGTATGAGTCTGAGTTAAGTAGCCCTCACCATTTTTAGTTATACTGATTTTGTGAATTATCTGCTCAAGACTGGGGTCCTAATTTTATATGAGCTGTTGGTGCTACTTTTTTCTGTGCCATTTCTTTACACATACAGAAATTAAGTTTCATGTATATTTTTCTTTCGAGGCTTTCAATTTCATCTCCCAGAGCTCTGTAACTCATTTTTTTAGTCTCAATTTTTGAAATAATTACTTCACCTAGTGAATTTACTTTGGTTTATGCCATGAAGTAGATCTAAGTTATTTCCTAAAGGCTAAGCTAGAACACCATTTATTAAATACTTCATCCCTTTTTTCTAGGCTTTGTGATGCCTTTTGACCATATGGTAAATTATTTTAGAGTCTGAATAATTTGCTCAGGATTGCTTCATTTTGGACTAGTGTGTTTTTGTTGTTGTTGTTGTATATGCTTTATAATCTGGCAAGACTTGTTTCTGGGGAAAAAAATCGATTATTAGTGTCCTGTATGACATTTAGAAATGTTTTGTATTATTCCCCTCCAAATCATCTTATGATCTTTATTGGAATATCGAAATAGTGTCGAACCTATCAACTTACATGTGAGAACAGACTTTTTTACACTGTTTCTTCTTCCCACCCACAAGTAACCACTCATGCTAGATGTGGGTAATATTGGCATGAGGCACATATGCTCCCTGACCTCAAAGACTCATACTTGGGGCTGGAAGACCTGGACGTTCAGTATAGTACTAACAAATAATATTTATGAGGTTCGGACTCTGTGAGCTCATTCTTCCTGGAGGGCTTATCTGAGTGAGGTGTCTGGTCGGGCAGTCCCTAAGAGCATCTCAGACAACATATGGAACGCTGGCAGATTGCAGGAACTGTGGTTTGCGGTGACCAGACCAGACAGTGGTGGGATGCTGTAACAGAAGGGACAGTGAGTCAGACACAGCCTCACAGGTCACACCGAGGAGCCTGAAGGGCACCCTCTTCACAGCAGGGAGGCTTGAAGGGATTTTTAGCTAGAGAGATTTTAGAAAGATCTTGGATGTTCTGAGTAGGATACAGTGAAGCGAGCAAAGACAAGTGATTTTCAGGATATCACTGAAGTAGTCCAAGATAGACTAAAAGAGCCACAGTGGAATGAGAAGCTTTTATATATGATACAGCTGAGGCAGATGCTATTATTTCCCTTAGGGTGAGGTAACCGGCCTGAAGAAGTAGCCAGAATAGCTAGCATAGGGAGCACTGAAATTCCGACAGGTGAGGCAATCACGCAAGCCCTTAACAAATCTGTAACTGAATGTTTGTTTATGGCTTACTTTAACCCAATACAACACTATTTAGAAAAGTAGTATGGCAAAGATTCACTAACCCCGTCTAATGATTTGGGGGAAGACGGGGCAGAACAAGATGATTCATTTGATTGGGGTTTGGTTAGAGAAGGAAGCAAAGCAGATGCAAAAGTGAAGTCCCAAGTCCGTAAACAGGATAGCTGTTGGAGCGGTCAACCCAGATGGGGCGTGTTGAAAGGACAGGTCTGGGATGAGGGAGTTGGAACAGGTGACCCGGGAACACGAATTTACAAACGAAGCACAGCCCCAGCAGGCATCTGACTGTGGCTGGGCACGCCAGGAAACAGACCCTCCAGACCGCTGGCTGGGGAACTCTGCAGGCTCTGCGCTTAGATGATCCCTGAGGCCGTGGGGTGGCGAGGTTGTCCAGGATGAGAGCAGCGAGAGAGCCCGGACGCTTGTGTTCTGCTGAGCGTTCTTCAAGCACCGAACTTGCCTGTTTGGCCAAGGAGATGGGGGAGTGCGGAGAACGACGACAGCAGCATGACATACCGCGGCAGCCTGCTTTAGCTCCGTGTCTGCAGCCTGTCGGCAGCCCAGTTCCTCAGGCGCTTTCTCCGCGTGGCTCAGGCACGTCAGGCCTCTCACCCTGGACCAGGAACCCCCCCCCAGTTCCGGAGAGGTTCCGGTGACACTGCTCGCTCTTCCCACCACAGCACAAGCCGAGAATGGCATTCTTGTTTTCCTGCTTAGTGGAATTCCTACGGTCCCAGACCCCAGAAGCTACTCAGAGTCGAGGGAATCACTCTGGGCACCCCATTTGGGAGCTCCATCTTTGCTGATTTCTCAAGGTAGATCTTACAGACTTACCAGCCTTAAAGGCAGACAGAAGAGATGGCATCAGGCATCACTGTCGCGATGCTGGTGTCTTTGCCTGCCAGGCACGACAACCCTGCTAGAAGATTACAACTTCCTGCGCCGTGGAGGGCTTCAGCCAACAGGATGTGAGTGGAAGGGATGTCGCTGTGGAGCAGAATCTTCACGAACCCTTGCATGGTTCCCCTAGCTCGCCCTTTGCCGTCTGCCTCAAAGCCAGCAGTTGCTGCTCAACCCCCCCACCGTGGCCACAGACACAGGTGGGAAACAGACACTGTAGTTACCACTGAAGTTGTGGGATCGTGAGAGCTGACGTATCCGGCAGAGACGGTCAACCCGGAGTACACCTTTTGCAGTCCTCTGCCGTATTCCATTAATGCTCACAAGTTACATCAATAGTGGTATATGTTTTAATCGTTTTCAGAATATAAGCTGCATAGCTTTTTAGAACAAAAAATAATGATGATATAACTTCAGGTACATGCTTTAGGACACCTGGTTAAACAACAAGCAAATCTGTGTCTTTGATGACCACCTCCAAAGGGTGGCAAACTTCACAGTGTAACTTGGAAACAGACATGGAGATAGGTGATCACATCATGGCATGTTCCATACAAAAGAACATTCTGACAATCAGAACATTAAATAGAACACAGCACACAGTTTCAAGTATTCAATCACTGCTTTCTGGCCAAGTAAAAACTGCCCAAGAACCACTGATATATTTTCACTGGAAAAAAATAGGTGTAGCTGCTGATTTCTTCCAGATACTGCAATTTTTTTCCAGAATGAGACTGTCCCAGTCCAGCTTGAAAGCAGTGTGAGGAATGATTCTCCCCCTCAACTTTTTAGGAAAAAGAAATGAACTGAAAGAATAAATTACAACAACAGGGACTCTGGCACTGAATGAAATAAAGGGAAAAATCACCTTTCTATCATTGCATAGTCTCCCGAGGCAGCAAATGTGAAAGAGGACACTGAAAAGCCACTTCGTCTTTACATAGCCCAAGGATCATTTCTACAGATTACTTGGGCTCCCATAATGTCCAAATGCTTCCTGAAGACACACACACCACGCGCTCCTCACCCTCTGAGAGAAGGTAGTTCCCTTTCACAATACGCATAGTAAGAAAACACACCCCCATACTCTCCAACTGCTTGACAGCTTTGGGTGCACACCGCGGGCTTGGCAAGCGTAGAGCAGGGCTGAAGGGCAGCTCCCTCTGATCCTTCGTCAAAGGACTGCCAGAGTCCCATGCTCCTGGCGGCATCACCTCAAGGTGCGGGTGACCAGGGCCCCCTGAGGGTAACAGGCAGCTGGGCCCCAGGGCTGGAGCACGGCTTCCTCCTGGGCCTGGGCTTCGAGAGGGGGGAGAGGAGCTCTCCCCAGTTCGGAGCTTGGACGCCTGCTGCTGCTCCTCCTTGCAGGTCTGCTCTGAAAACCTTAGCTCTGGCAAAGTGGGGAGCCTGAGAGCTTTCTCTAGGCTCTGGTATCACGTGGCAAAATTAAAAACAGGCATTATATAAAATTTGTGTAGCTGTTGGATGAATTTTTATAAGTCAGATACAATGAAAGATAAAAGAATATCCTGTTTCTGAGCTGTGAGTTCAGAAAAAGTTGTCCAAAGGGAGCACCTGGGCAAGAAGTGTGACGTTCTGACCCTGAAGTCTCACTCTGGACTGCTCTTTGTTCTAGGGGTGGTCAGAGGCCGTCACCAACTCAAACCACTGTCTGAGGGCATCACTGAGGGTCTCAGGAAGCGCGTTCACATCGCGAAGAATAACGTAGAATGGGAACGGGAACTCCTCCATGTAGGATCGGATTTCAGGCATCTCTCCAGGGCCCTTAAATATCGGCACTTTAATGTCCAGGATAGAATCCTGTCAACAAAAGACATTTGGAAATAAGAGGGGAAAAAAGAAAACGAAACCAGTCTTTGGCTAGCTCTTCTATGATCTCTTTTGCTGACAACTTTTCAGTCTCCTGGGTCTTATTCTTGCATATGAAAGTAGCTGTTGCTATTAAGTAAAAGAGAATTTTCAGAACTCTCATGAAGGAGGAGGCAGCTCTCTGAGTGCCCCTTGCGGGAGAATGGACACTGAAAGGAAGGAAGGGGATAGAGAGGAAAGTCCACTTCCCCACAGCGGGATCTCCTAATCTATGCTTGGAGTCAATCACATTAAACTTCGCCTTATAATCAAGGTCTCAATGTGACCTGCAGGGACAATGCGTCCTGGGGACGGAACTGTCCTGTGGGTGTCATTTCCCTCAGCTGACTGATGCTTCCTGCTGTGAGGAGGGCTGCTGAGATAGACGTATGTGTGGAAAGAGCTGGTCTCCATCTGGCAGTCTCAGGGCCCACCATCAAGGCTGCACACCTGCACTGACTCGGTGCAGGAGGAGGCTAGGACCCGCAGAGCCATTCGGAATCCCAGCTCTCCTGCTCATCACCTCTAACCTCTCTGTGGTTCAGTCCTTCACTGGAGTGGGAATCATGACCGCCACCGTGCTGGCTTACTGTGAAGAGTAACTGAGACATGCACAGTGTCTAGAATGGAACCTGACAGAACGCTGTGAATGCTGGGAGTTCTCGAGACCGCCCGTCTGGTATTTCAGATGAAACAGGTGAAAGGGAATCCCCACCTTATCTCCAGAAAAGGTAGCTTTTAGGAGTCACTCACCCGTGAACTGGGGTTGTCCAACACAACAAAAATGACAAAGATGTTTGCATTTCGAGCAGCCTGAACTGCCGCCAGGACTCTTTCTTTGCCCTCAAGGAAAAGGCCTCGTCCATCAGAGACTACCAGGAGGAGCTGTGCAGTTTCTGCAGGACACAGGAGAGAGAGGAAGGGAATAAAACCAAAATCCATGCTTAATAACTCACGACTAAAAGTAGCTAGGTGTGACAAATTAGTGTAGGCTTTCTCTGTTAAGACTAAGCAGACCTCTAAAGCAAACGAATTTGGGGCACAAACAAAAGGGGCTTCTGGTTAGATCTATGATGCAAGAGGCCTGAGTCAGAGACAAGGCATAAGAAGACATGCTCAGTATCTGTCAATATAGCAGAATTTCCCAAGAATGCCTCAGGAAATGTGAAGTGTAGATCAACTTCAACTGTAGAGCAACATACTATATATGAGAATTTAAACATTTATTAATGGCTGTCAACTATAAAAATGGTCATACTGAGTAGGCCATTAGAAACAAGTACCCAAACCAGAAACCTCGAACTGTGTCTTTCAAATTTCAGTCATCATGTATATCACCTTTAGGTTTTTGTCAATTTCTTGTGCTTAATGTCTATACTTTTTCCTTGAAATTTACTCATCTAAACAAAAACATAAATAGGAAGGAACTGTTAAACAGTGAATGAGCTGTTTTAAAAATTTCAGATATACAATGTTTCTAGCTAAGGATTATGTAATGCATGAAGGCAGGCTGTCTCTTTGTCATGGAAGTTTAGCAAATGCCGAGCGGTTTGAATGACTTGCTTCGAAACAGCAAGTTTCTTTATGATACAAACAGAACTGAGAGACTTTTGGAAAGGACTAAAGAATTGGTATGTTCAAGCCACGAAGCAACTGTGTTGGATTAGCTGATTTTAAATTAGGACACTCTCTGCTTTCCTCTGTTATTAAATTTCACGGAATACAGTTGTCCCTCATTCTCTCAGGGAACTGGTTCCAGGACATTCCCCACCCCTGCTGCTCATGCCGCATACCAGAACCCACACGTGTTCTAGCCCCACAGTCAGGCCTGCACAACCCAAGCACAGAGGTCTGCCCTCCGTATACTCAGGTTTTGCATCCCTTGAATACCGTATGTATTCCATGTTTGGTTGGGGGGGGGGAACCAGCGTGTAAGTGGACCCAAACAGTTCAAACCTGTGTTGTCAAGGGTCAACTGTAGTCTTTTCATTTAATTTCACACACCTAGCTCCTTTCTCTCACAACTCTGAACTCAATCTATCAAATAAGTGTGTACTAGTTATTACAAACTAATTAGTATCCAGATCCCCTACTGTTTATAAGCCTCATGAGTATAGGTTTGATAAAATTTCTGACTGAATAAATCAGTAAAAACGTCCATCTACTCCACCTGTTTATGCCTTTCCTGTAGAGAATGCACTTTACAGCATGGTGACATGCACAGTGACAGGAGACAAGCAGCCTGTGAATACGGAGCATAGGAAAGCACTTTGTCAGCAAAGAGGAAAGCAAAGCAGCTCACCTGGACTGACGTTCTGTGAGAGCTGCTGAGCGGCTGCAAACATGTCAGCAACAGACTCTAAAAACTAAACCACATACAGAAATAGACAGTTAAAAACTATTTAAAATGATTTCCATATCAAAGAGGCTGAAATTACTTCTGACACTGAAGTGATTGTCAGTTAATCATGTCAGGTTTGTAGGACATTGTGGGGGCCATGGCACAATTTTATTTTTTTTTATTAGGATACAAGCTCCCTACGTGTTAGCTGAAAAATCACTAGCATGAGACACATTAACAGTAGGAAAGACATACTAATGTATTTAACGTGTATACACGGGAGTCTTCAGTTTTAAGACCAAACTTCCCAATGAATTACAGAAACTTTTTTTTGAGTTGGAGTCTCACTCTGTCGCCCAGACTGGAGCGCAGTGGCCACTTCCAGCCACCACAGCCTCGACCTGCTGGGCTCCAGCGATCCTTCCGCCTCAGCCTTCCGAGTAGCCAGAATTACAGGCATACGCTACCATGCCCAGCTGATTTTTTTTTTGATTTATTGTAGAGAGGAGGTCTCGCTGCCCAGGCGGGTCTCGAACCCACGGGCTCAGGCAATCCACTCATCTCAGCCTCCCAAAGGCACGGGATTACAGGCTGAGCCACCGAGCCCGGCTGATACAAGCATTTTTTTTTTTTTTTTTTTGAGTTGGAGACTCACTCTGTTGCCCAGACTGGAGTGCAGTGGCCACTCCCAGCCACTGCAGCCTTGACCTGCTGGGATCCAGCAATCCTTCCGCCTCAGCCTTCCAAGTAGCCGGAATTACAGGCACACACTACCACACCCGGCTGATTTTTTGATTTATTGTAGAGATGAGGTTTCACCAAGTTGCCCAGGCGGGTCTCGAACCCGCGGGCTCAGGCAATCCACTCACCTCAGCCTCCCAAAGGCGCGGGATTACAGGCTGAGCCACCGAGCCCGGCTGATACAAGCTTTCTTAAGCACAGATGAGTCATGTCTCTGCATACATCCCAACAGAGTTCTGCAAGACACCCCAAAGGAATTTCCCTGGGGATAGAAAGTCAATAACCTTCTTAAAGTAAACCAATCAGCTGTCTTCTCTCAAAAAAAAAAAAAAGGAGCCAAAAAGAAGGCAAGAAAACACAGTATGTCCAGTGCAACCTAAAAAAAGGAGATTAAGTTAGAGTAGGAACCAGGGAGATATTCCTCTATGATCTGTTTTGCACTTGTCATATCATCCTGAGCAAGTCATGGCCTGCATTTCCTATCATTTCTTCTCTATGCTCTATGAGGGCGAGAAACGGGCCTTGGCCCACCTGGTCCAAGGCACTGAGAGATGAGTCTATTTTTCAAAGTGTTGCAAACCGCTCAGAAGAAAGTAGGGTGCCCGAAAACCAACGATGCAAAGTCACACAGTCTTTGAGAAACAGAACAGTCTCCCCTTGTTTTATCATGGAGGCCAAGGAAGCTTCTCTCCTCGTGCCATACTGACTGAGGTGTAGGGACCGTACCTGTCCCAATACCATACTTTGGGGGGGAAGTGGCTTCTAAAAACTTTGGCTTTCCTAAACCAGCTTCGGAATAACTGCAGAAGACATTTGGCTTCATTTACATACCTGAGCAATCTTGGTTTTCTTCTGCTGGAATTTGCAGAGCCGTAGTATCTGGGACCCTGAGTAATCACTGAACTGCTCATGGAATGGATGTAACAGCCTTACGGACTCTCCAAAACTTGGGGGAGAAAAGTGAAATACAACATGAGTTATTTTTCTATAGTATGATGAAAATAACAAAGCAAGGTTGTGAAAAGGACTTCCCCAGTGGGATTGGAAGGCCCTAGTACCTGCACACTGCAATCTGCCCCACTTCCAGGAGGGTTAGGGCATTTCCGATCACGGCCAAAGATTCAAAAGCAAGCTGTGAAATAGAAAGTTAGGGAATAAGAATATTCTCCAAACCACTGCCCCTCAACCTTTCGTTACCTCAAGATTCCCACAGAAAAGATTCTTTTTTGTATTCTATGTGGCACACGCGAGAAGACCATCACTAAGACTATTATATTCACACCCAATCCAGAGGCTAGGGTGACCTTATGCCCTGCCTGGTACCATACATGCTGAAGCCTAGAGTCCATTACACTGGCAGGAATGGTCTGCTCGTGACATCATCTAATGGAAAGCGGCCTGGAGAAATAGTCTCTAACTTTAAAACTGTCTTTCCTTCTTTTACTGTGAACGCCACAAAAAATAATCCCTGTGGATAACAAATTTTAAAAACCAATTTAAAATTCATTCATTTGTAGTAAAATCAGACTGTAGAATTACATTGGAAACTTTCACTACCACCTGCATAAATGACAGCATAGTTTCAGAACTTAAATTTTACTAAGAAGCACCAAATCAAATGCTTTACATACATTATATCATTTAATCTGATAATCCTAAGTATGACATTATAACTATTATGTGTGTGTGCCTATATATGAGTACTGTTAGGATCCTCATTTTTCTGAAGGTAAAACTGACACTTTAGAAGTTGCCCAAAGTCTTGTGGTAGTAAGTGGGGAGCTGGGACATGAACCCAGGTTCAAGGGTTTACTAGTACACTGTTCTATTTTCTGGAAAATAAACACTGTCAGATTTACTTAGTCTACAACTCTGCAACAATAGAATAGCAGGGTTGAGAAACAAAATGATTTAAAAGACCTACAATAGTAAGGGACCAAAATACTTGAGACATCCTGAAATCGCCCTCTTGAATTTAAATCTTAGGTCTTCTCAAAGATGGTGATCACAGTCTTGGAACAAGTTAATTGTTTTTTCAAAACGTTTTTTGCCAGATAGTTTTTAAAACATTTAGGTGGCCCATGGAATACAGTTTGGTGTTAACTTTCCACCTAAACATTTCTCTTCCTTACCTGCTTGGTATGGTTGTCTACCATACTAGAAGAGTCGTCGACAGCCAAACAAATCTGATACTGGCGTTTACTGGGCTTGGTCCTTCGAAGCCAAATCTTGTCTTTCCGAAACTGACTAGCAATGTACGGAATGACCTTCCGCATGTTCAGTCGTTTCCCGGTGCGATAGTCTCCTCTGTTAAATGTATTCAAACAGGGGCAAAGATTCGTCAACAACCGCAAACTCCTGAGAATTTTCTTTAAGGACAAAAATCACATTAATAAGACCTTAAAACCAGTAATATCAAATAACTAGGAACCTGGAACCGTGAAGCGTTACTGTTAATTGAGGACAGGATCTTCCTGACCACTACCAGAAAAACTGGACACGAATGTGGCAATAAGTAGGTCCTTCCAGAAAAGCTACAACACATTTTTTAAAACTAGGGGAAAACTGTTTCCATTGACTATGAAGTCTTAGAGTCTCTCTTTTCTGTTCTAAGACTATGATTTTGGAGACATCTTTGAAAAGATCTAGGTGAGTGACGCCTGCAACACGTCACCAGGAGAACAGCACATATACCCAAAGGCTCAGCCAACGTCCCCATCAGAGAGTAATGAGGACAAGAAACTATAAATTCTCTCCAAACTTAACAGAAACTTGTAGGGCAGAGATAGCAATAGCAAGACAGCAAGGACACCATACTGGTGCCCGTGCGGCAGAAGGGGCAGTCCAGACGCCAACACCACGATGGTCAGGTGCTGAGCTCCACAGAACTGGTGGCACTGCCGTCCGTTCCAGGCTCTGTGAGGGCTCCCAACGGGGAAGACTCACTTCAGCTTGCTGGCTTGGGTGGGCTCTAGTATGAGCCGAAGTTCTTCACACAACTGTTGTGAAAGCGGTGCCGTTAAGACCAGGTAGCTCTGCCACATCTCAGCTGCAGCCTTCTCCTGTGACAACAAGATGTAAGTTACTCTCAGACCGTCAGCGCCAGCCAAGTCCTTCCTGCAAGATGAAGGCCTGAAGCAAAGTAGCAGAAAATGACCCACATGTACTTTCTCAGCAGAAGCATTTAAAGCTCTCGACAAGCTGCAATCCATTCACTCGATCAAAAATGTCTCCCCTTCCACCAAAGCACAACCCCCACTTCCAAGCGAGAATAAAACTAGGCAGCTAATTATTGGAATTCCTGACCAAACCAATGCCTTATTCATATTTACCTACAAGAGTTTAACATACACCCTTCATAGGGGGAGGGAGATGTAAATGGGTCATTTTGGCACGGGCAGATCCAGCCACTTACTCGTGGGCTCAGTCGTGTTTCCGAAGGAAAAGGGACACACTCAACAGTGTGCTCACTTCCTGGACACAGCCCCGAGACTTTCATGCCAATTAAGCAGAGCACTCAATACATGTGTGCAGTGGGATGGTAACAGGTACAAAATAAAAATATTGTACATATACAGTAGACTTTGGATGCTAATTCATCACAAATGAAATTTTCAGTAACTCCACACTACCACATTCAGTCAGCTGGCAGTGATCTAGGTAGCCTCTTCTCGGGACACCACAGTTCAGTCCAAGTTTTCTTTTTTTAGATTAGAAAATATGTTTATTTAGAAAGACAGTTACAGAGAAAGAAAGAGGAAATTCACCTCCCCAAGGTAGGGAAGGGGGGGCCAAAGCTTAAGGAAACACGGCCTGACCACAGCCAAAAAGCACACGGCCACACCATAGCTTAGCAAGGCAGTGGCCCAAGTTTTCAACCACTATCACATCTAGTGCATCAGTTGCACAGCTAGCAACAGAAATTAAAGAAGCTGAACACACCAGTTCCTGTTTTAATTAAGTGGCAAAGCAGGCAGAAAGCAATGGGCAGACTTAGGTTTTAGGATTATCATAACATTTTCCATATACCTGGTCCTTTTACAAAGATAGCTAGATCTAGGAAACTATTAAGTTTGCCATATGTTAAAAAACAACAAAAGTCAAGATATTTTATGAGTAAACGGTGACTTACTTCTTCTAGGTTTCCAGGTTCACGTGGCTGCCACATTTCCAGCTGTCTCTCTAGTTCCTGTCTTAACTCACTGACATCTTTTAAAAAGGGCTAAGAAGAAAGAACCACAGAGAAGGGGCATTGGCATCTCCAATTTATTGCTGCCAGCTGGCTTCCTCTCTGTAGTATGAACTCAAAAGTATATAGTCAAATACTCCTGAGATTCAAAACTTAATTAGGCACAATCAATGACACAATGAGAAGATGCCAGACAACCATCCTTTCTCTGCTTCCCATTTTAGAGACAATATGGATAAAGGAGAAAAAAAAACCAACCAACCAAACAAACAAACAAAAAACACTTATAAATCCACTCTGGTAAAACAAAAACAACAAAACATTAAGCTACCAATAATGAGAACATTCTTTAATTAATCTAGACTGCCATTAATTCTAACTATTAAAAAAAGAACTCAAACACCTCTATCTAAATGCAGGCATTAAGTCCAAGCTTCTTTATATTTAACCACATAAAGTGTTAATCATGGTTCCTCACACAAAGGATGGAAAAAAGAGTGGGATATGAGAGCCGGAAGCCGGGGACCAGGCCCACTGTCGCAGACGGGTCAGGGTGCTGCGACTCTTAGATTGTTGGGACAGTGTCCTGCGCTTAAAGAACAGGGCCATTTGCTTAAATAAAGAACACTTGTCACACCAACAGCATTCAAAATTTTGGTAAGAGCATGTGACACCCCCAAACAACCAGATGTGCCATTAAGGACTAAAAACAAAGATTTAAAAGCATTAATTTAAAATTCCATTTTGTCAATTTATAAAAGCAGTAATTTGTGAGCTTCAGTACAGGCACCTGGCAAATGGTGTCCATGAGGAAGTGGTGGGCTGTATGAATGGTTGACTCTTGGCTTCTTTCTGGTTTCTCAATCTCCACTTCGTGAGTTCTGTCTGTCCTGGGGTCTCGGTCTTCCTCCGTATTAACATTCTGGATCTCCGTCTCCATCTCATCAAAGCCAGAAGGACCTTGCTTCGCTAAAGATATCAGACCGACAGGGTCCGCATCAGACGCCACTCCTTCCCTCCCCAACACAGTCTCTTTGAGACAGTCAGTGCCAGCTCTTGTTTCCTACTTCCCTTCCTCCCCACCCTGATGTTGAAGGGATGTTCTGGAGAGAGGAAACTGGGGAGACCGTGGTTTATCGCAGCAAGCCATGCAGGACCGTGTGATCCTTGAAACCATGGAGGTAGAACTCTGACAAGAACTGCAGTCAGTACAATCATAGTTCCATTCTGCATAAGGTGATTAAGGCAAAGTCAAGATTTGACTCCAGGAAAGTCTGACCACAGAGTTGTGTTTTTCTCCCTGCACATGATGGCAGAGCAGTCAGCCATGTCGAACAGCCCTGAGAGGATGTGAATGAAGTGCAAGAAAAAGCCTTTGGATTTGGCAAGTTCTTTGAATTTGCATTTATTGCTGAAAGTTATTTGTCTGATGTGCGGAGTGCATGCCCCCATTAAATAAATAAATAAGTTGCCTGGTAACACAACCTGGCTAGCTATGACATGGGAGCTTGTTGCTTCCTCACATTCATTTTCTTCCTTGTAATATTTTACTGCATGTTATGCTAATATTATGTACTAGTATACAATCGAAAAACATAATTTCTCCAATCAAGAATATCCCTTCTCATCATAGCTGCGGTAAATTATTGTTTTTTCCTACATATTTTTACAAAGGACTAATGGGATTTTGCCACAAAGGACTAATGGGATCTGCCACAAAAAGTTGAGTTTCAGGGGCCTCCTCGAAGGACGCTACCACACTACCCCTGCCCACCTTTTCGCGCCCCAACAAAATATGGCGAAATCAGTGTAGGCAAATTCTTCATCTAAGCACAGGCTTGGACATGAAGCTGAACACCAGCCTAAGTACCAGAGAAGTGACTGAACGGGAGAGTGGAGGAAGGGCTTCCGTTTACCAGCAGGACTCACCAGAGGCGGCTGTGGTGGCCGACGTGGCCTGCTCTGGCTTCAGCTGCTCCACGGCTGCTGCTCTGAGCTCCTCCTGCTCCTCTGTGTCCATGAGCACATCCTCTGTCTCCTCCTCTTCCTGATCCTTACCACAGTCTTTGGCCAACTGTTGCTGCTCCTTGCTGGCCACATCTGCCAACCAAGGATACACACAGAAAACCTAGGTCTTTGCAGAACCACGTGATGATGAGGGGGCTATGGTTCCCGTCATTTCTAGCTTCCAAAATTATGATGCCTGCTTGGCCACTGACCAGCTATGTGGCTTGGAGGCATTGTCTGTGCCTAAGATTTCCTGCTGACCTCTCGATGGAACTGCCTGTTCCCTACCACTTACAATGGAACTGTGCATGCGACCACACAAATAGGGTGTTTAGCTGGGCTTTCTTTTTTTGAGTTGGAGTCTGTCACCCAGGCTGTGGCATGCTCACGGCCACGGCAGCCTCGACCTGCTGGGCTCAGACGATCCTTCCACCTTAGCCTTCCAAGAGGCTGGAACTACAGATGTACGCCAACACACCAGGTTAGTTTATGTGAATTTTTTTTTTGAGTTGGAGTCTCACTCTGTTGCCCAGACTAGAGTGCAGTGGCTGGTCCTGGCCACCGCAGCCTCGACCTGCTGGGCTCCGGCAATCCTTCCACCTCAGCCTTCCAAGTAGCCGGAATTACAGGCATGCGCTACCACGCCCAGCTGATTTTTTTATTTATTGTAGAGATGAGGTCTCGCTGCCCAGGCGGGTCTCGAACCCGCGGGCTCAGGCAATCCACTCACCTCAGCCTCCCAAAGGCGTGGGATTACAGGCTGAGCCACCGAGCCTGGCTTATGTGAATTATTGTAGAGACAAGGTCTCACCAAGTTGCCCAGGTTGGTCTCGAACCTCCGGGCTTAGGCAATCCTCTCACCTCCGCCTCCCAAAGTGCTGTGATTACAGTATCAAGGACATTTTAAAAGCTCATCATAATCTAAGAAACCCTGGGCATCTTCCTTGGCTGTGGATACTTCTGTCCCCAAACGAAACTGTATTTCTGCACATTTAGTATCATTCCAAAAGTCATTCCCTCCCCCTCCCAATATGAATTTGTACTGACACCTGGCAGGCTCACAGTCACACACCAAAAGCTCTCACAGAGAGCTCAGTGAGCCAAAGGAGCTTTCCCCACACCGTACCATAGGTCTGTGCATCATACATGTCGCTGCCTGGCTTAATGTGCTCGAATGCATCAGCTTCCTCCACCTGGGCCTGGGCTGGCCCCTGCTCTGCGTGGCTGTCTGCATCCACAGTCCTCAGCCTCTTGGTCACACGCTCACTGGGATCTCCCATGAAGCGTTCATTGTCAGCCTGCCCAGGTTTCCTCTTAAAACTCTGTGGGAAATACAAGGAAATAAACCACAGCCATGTCTGCAATGACAAAGACTCAAAATTACCACAACGTCCACGTAAGAGGGCAGGTTAAGTAAATTAGATGCAGCTATACGAGAACGGAATCCAATGTAGCTATTTTTAAAAATGAGGTTTCATCTACTTATATGTGATATATTTTTTTGTTTTTCTGAGTCAGAGTCTCACTCTGTCATCCAGGTTGGAGTGCAGTGGCATGCTTGCAGTCACTGCAGTCTCTACCTGCTAGCCTCAGGTAATCACTCTACCTCAGTCTTCCAAGTAGCTGGGACTATAGTCATGTGCCACAATATCCATCTAATTTTTAAATTTTTTTTCTTAAGAGACGAGGTCTCACTATATTGCCTAAACTGGTTTCAAACTCCTAGACTCAAGCAATCCTCCTGCCTCAGTCTCCCAAAGCGCAGGATTACAGGTGTGAGCCACCATACCCAGCACAAAATTTAATTTTTTTTTGAGTTGGAGTCTCACTCCATCGCCCAGGCTGAAGTGCGGTGGCAAACTCACAGCCACCCCAGCTTTGACCTGCTGGGCTCCGGTGAACCTTCTGCCTCAGCCTTTCAAGTACCTGGAACTACAGGCGCTACCACACCCGCAACTTTTTGATTTGTTATAGAGACAAGGTCTCGCCAAGTTTCCCAGGCTGGTCTTGAACCCATGAGCTCAGGCGATCCACTCGCCTCAGTCTCCCAAAGTGCTGAGATTACAGGCTGAGCCACCGAGCCCGGTAAAATTTAATTTTTCAAAAGCTACAACCTGTGAACAGCGAAGAAAAGAATGAGACTGGCTGGTGCTGGGCTTTCAGGCCCCACAGCAGGAACAGAGGTGGGGGAAGAGAAGAAGCCCTGGTGACGGGATTGTGCTGGGAAAATCCCACAGTCCTAGTTTGCTCTCCAAGGCTGCTGTCATGCCCAGTGGGACGGCAAAGGGTGGGAGGGTGGCATTTTTTGTTTGTTTTTAAACCACCGTGTGACAGCTAGAGCATTTCTTCCCACACGCAGTCGTCACCTAGGTTTAGCTGAGTGATAGAAACCTGTGTGTTTTTCCTGGTTGGCTTCTGGGAGGCCAAGCGGGCGATGAAGCTGGATTCATGACCTTCTGCCTGGTTGGCATCTGCAGCTCCACTCCCGTGCTCCTAGAAAATCCAAGCATTGAAAGAACGAGGTAGTGGAAGCCATTGCAAGTGCCTGGTTGCTGTGCTGCATCGAGCAGAACTCTCCCCACTGCTGCAATCATCTCAGAGTCTTCCCATCTCTCTCACCTGCTCTGGAATGCACGGTGACAAGGCCCGACCTACTGGAGTGCCTAGTACAGGGCGCTGTTATTCACCAGAGGCCTTCGCCTTACGAGGCTGTTCAGTTCCTCGCCTGCAGGAGTGTTAGGCCCACACCAAAGGCGGGAGAGAGCTACACTTCATCAACACCAGCTGTGTGCTTGACTTCGTCAAGGCTCACTCTCCTCAACACATCACGGAGAAAACAGAGTATCTCATGGGGCTACCGCGAGGACTTGCTGAAGCCATGAAAAGGCCTGACGCCTGGTGGGCGCTCAGAGAATGACTGTGGGGGTGGCGGCCATGGGCTACGTGGCTGCTGCTATCAGTGAGAACATGGGGGCTCGAAGAGGCGATGGAAGGTGTCCCGATTGCCCCTGAACCGAGCAGGGCACTCACCGTCAAGCCCCGCCACGGGACCCAGCACCTGAACTGTGGCCACCTGAACTGTGGCCCGGCACCTGAACTGTGGCTACACGTCCCCGAGTCAGGGAACGAGGAAGTGCTGTGCTTTTCAAATGAAGTACTTAGAAGCCTGGCGGAGAGCAAGGAAAAAGCAAGCACCACAGAGGCACACACTGCATGAAGTCTGAGTTCAACGCTGCCTTTCTTGGGAGGTTTCTGACAAACACGAAGCTGACCCTCCCATCAAGAGAATTACCAGTCTAATGACTATTCTTAATATACACATCGCTGAAATTCTGCCTGTAGCGAATGTTCTGAAGTTTGCCCTGGGAGGTGTATAAAAATAAGTATAGGGTCATGCTCCACAGAAAGACAGTTCACGTCTTTAGGCTGCACCAGTTAATACCACATTTTTCCTGTATATTTTCTACGTTGTGATATGTGAATACCTAACCCCTGTGCTGCAACAGCCTACAGCGTTCAGCAGAGTAACATGCTGTGCAGGTTTGTGGCCCGGAAGCAACTGGCCCCAGCACAGCCCTGGTGTGCAGCAGGCTCTGCTGTCTTGGTGTGCGCGAGGATGCCCTGTGCAACTCACACAACAGCGAAATCGCCTAATGACACGTGTTTCAGAATGTATCGCCATCGTTAAGCAACACATGACTGTGCAATTCTTTCCTCAAAGAATGGGATACGATCTTTTACGTGTCAACAACAAGACCAAAAAAAACCAAACATATACCAGCTGCTAGCCACAAGAACACAACTGAGACAGGAAGGAGAGAGGCCGCTGGCTGCCACAGCGAGGACCCTCACCTCTCGGCCTGGCTCCCCCTCAGGTGCGGGCCCGGCCAGCTGCACAGCCTCAGGGCTCTGTATGGTCTCCACCCCAGTCTGCCCACAGGCCTGCTCCTGCTCCTTCCTCTCCGGGGCCTCTGGCATCGGCTCCTCTGGGTCAGAGCCCTCCGCTTCTTCCTCCTGCTTCTGCGGAGAAACCAAACACCGTTTTATACACCCTGCAGCAAGTGGGCTCCCACCTCTCACGGAAGGAACTCTACAGGGTGGGGGGGGTCGGCAAGAGGGTCTTCAACAGAGCTCAACACTCCTTGGTGGCACCACCTAGAGAAGGAAAAGTATCCTCCAAGAGAGTCTCGTGGGAACAGAGGTGATCTCCCCCTTCTCATGATCATCGTTAATGGTCCACAGTACCTGGGGCTGGAAGCCGTGGTCAGAGGGGCCATTCTGCTCCCCTTCCTCGTCGACTTCCGGGTCCTGTCCCTCCGGAGACTGCTGCTGCTCCTCTGGTTTTTCCTCGGGATGTTCAGCTGCACCTTGGCCATCAGCTCCAGTGTCCATGTCCTCCTCCCCTTCCACCTTGTCGTCTTCACTGGGGCCTTCTTCAGGCTCATGTGGACTCTGGCTTTCATTCTGGTCTGTTGCAATCTCTTCATTTCTTTCGTCGTCCTCAGAGCCTGTTTCTTCCATATCCCCTGGTTTTTCTTTTATCTCCAAAGGATTCTCCTCTGGATAGATACCCCCCAAAAAGGAATACCAGATTTAAAACATTTGTTTCTTAATTATAAGAAATCTTGAAGACTTCTTAAGCGGGAGGCAGTTACATAAGTGGTTTGTTTATTATTCTCTTAACCAGGGATTGGCAAACTATGACCCATAGGCCCAATCTGCCCCACCACATTTCTGTAAACAAAGTTGTTTTTTTTTTTTTTGAGTTAGAGTCTCACTCGGTTGCCCAGACTGGAGTGCAGTGGCCACTCCCGGCCACCGTAGCCTCGACCTGCTAGGCTCTGGCCAGCCTTCCGCCTCAGCCTTCCAAGTAGCCAGAATTAGAGGCGCGCAATACCACACCCGGCTGATTTTTTATTTATTGTAAAGATGAGGTCTTGCCAAGTGGCCCGGGTGGGTCTCGAACCCGTGGGCTCAGGCAATCCACTCACCTCAGCCTCCCAAGGCGCGGGATTACAGGCTGAGCCACCGAGCCCGGCTCTGTATAGGTTTTACTGGGACACGGCCATATATATTCTGCTACCTATGTGTTGACCCCATCTGTGTTGCTCTGCCCATGGATGCTTCTACACGACAGCAGCAGTACTGAGTGTCTACAATGCAGCACTATGGCCTGTGATGCCTCAAGACTTATTATCTGATGTTTTACTAAAAGAAGGTTTGCCCACCTCTGTTCTAAACCTGACTCCTACACGAAGTGGGGGCCCCCAAAAATCCAGAATTATTTTTTGGAGGGTGGGTCCCTTGCAGTGCAGGCTTCCCCCACTAGTCCACACTGTGCTGAGTTTTCTCAGATGAAAAAGTCCTCAAAGGGAAACGTTTTGCCCCAAATGGCAGAAGTACTAAAAGGCATCAAAACTGACAAGTTCAAAAACTCTTTTGAGCAATGGAAAAAGTGAATTAATAGGTATATTGCATCAGAGTGTACTTTGGTGACTAAAGTTTAAATATATAAGAATAAATAATTTTTTGTAAATAAACTCCAGAATTTTTGGGGGTCCCCCCGCCATGTCTGGTGGGTAAGTGAATGGCTGCTGAAGGTGACTAGCTCTCGGTTCATTTTCAGTGAGTTTTGACTGGTGTCTTTGGGTTTCTGAAAGACACACCTTCTCCTTCTTCATTGTCACTGTCGTCACCGCTGTTCTTATCTTCACTGTCAAGGTTCAAGTCATCAGGAAGGTCCAAGGCCTCGGGTTCTGGCAGTTTTTCCTGATTGCCGTGGTACGGGTCCACTTCATTCTCATCATATTCCCTCTTCCGTACAATTGCGAGAACAGGGGAAAAATAAAAATGAAAAACTTTTATCTCAAACAAGAAATTTAAGAAATAAAGATAACTGCTCCCCAAATTATAAAAAAGAAAAAAGACAAAAAAAACAAAGGACCACAGATTTTCGCTTCCAAACAACAGCATGAGCCCAAACAACATGTAGCCTCCCTTGTCAGTAAACATCTGGATACTTTGTGTCCTGTCAGGAGTCTCAGTCTGTCGCCCAGACGGGAGTGCAGCGGCCGTTCCCAGCCACCGCAGCCTCGACCTGCTGGGCTCCGGCGATCCTTCCGCCTCAGCCTCCCAAGGAGCTGGAACTACAGGCGCGCGCTACCACCCCGGCTCATTTTTTGATTTACTGTAGAGATGAGGTCTCGCCAAGTTGCCCAGGCGGGTCTCGAACCTGCAGCCTCAGGCAATCCACTCACCTCGGCCTCCCAAAACGCGGGATTACAGGCTGGGCCACCGAGACCGGCTTGCGCATTCTTTTATGAGGCAGTGGGAGAGCAGTCAATGACCAGAAGGAGAGTCTGAGATGCCCAAGGACTGTAGTGTGGTGGCCCTGGCCTTGATTCATGATTCAGATGCTAGTCCTTATTACCTCATCTACTTGTTCATTAATTTTGTCTTGGCCCCGTCCATCGTCATCAGCGGCTGCCTCTTCCTCTTCTTCCTTCTGATTTTGCTGATTTTTATCTTTCTTTGAATTCCCAGCATCCAAGTTGTCATCTTTAGCAACAAGTTCAGAATCTTCCTAAATGACAGAGGAAGGAAAAACACAAAGTCATCACGCCCATCCAAGAAACTGCTTCCACACGAGTTAACTTGCTAATGTAGTTCTTAGACATGTTTAGTTTCTGCCATGGACCTAGCCCGTGGGAATCAACCTGGAGACAACAGTCCAGGTCTCCTGGAAGCAGCAGAAACAGCGGGTGTGTGAACAGTGAGGCGGATCTGATCATCAGATACATCCTGCTGTGCTGCTGCAGTGTCATACTCAGCCCTGGAGTTCTCCTAAGCTGGGAGCTGGAGAAATCCAGTGGCCAGTAGTCAGCTCAGAGCACCTGCACCACGTCTGGTCAACCTCCATTCTCCACAACATATGGGAGACTCAGGTCAGGCTACTCTTTTAGCTCCGAATACAGTCAGTGAGCTAGGATAAGAAGAAAAAAGAAGGACGGAAGAAAGAAGAACAAAGACAGAGGAGGCAGAGCAGTGAACGGCGGGGAGCAGGAGGGGTGGGAAGATGGCCCCCTCAGCCAGGCGACGTCCAGATGGGGGATCTTTCAATTACCTCATCCATTCCTGGTCCTGTTTCTTCAGTTTTACTGTCTTCTTCCTCCTCATCTTCCTCCTCGTCGTCATCGCCCCAGAGCCTCTCATCTAGCTTGTCAGCTTCCTCACCATGGAGATCGCCCATCTGTTTATCCAGGTCTCCGCCCTCACTGTCTGCCTCCTCATCCTCCTCTTCTGAAAGGGAAGGCACGGAGCTTAGTGCGGCAGATCTGCAGACTGACCCAGGCCTGTGAGCGTGAGAGGCGCGGACCCACTTCCTGGCATGGTCCCGCCTAGGACGTACTGCCTGCAGCGACAGATACCCACGGGCAGATGCCTGAGATCCACTAACGTGGTGCTGCTGCACGAAGAGCGGCAAACCAGCTGTCAGGATGCCTGCTCTGGTGTTGGGGGAATGCCCCTAGGGGACCCAGCAGCCAAGACACTGATGTGGGAAGTGATGGGTTTGGAACAAGCGGTTTCCCGGGGTCTTCCTCCGTCTCCAACAGACTGTGCTGCTATGACTGCATCCAACATCCAACATCCAACACCCAATGTCAGGTCTCGCTCAGTGAACCAGGACTTTCGTACGCTTTACCAGAAGTCCTGTCCTTAGGTTTCTTAGGCCAGTGTACACCTTTCTACTCTAAGGTCCGCTTTCATTTCCACAAGATCTTCACTCAGAATAAGACACATCATCTCAAATTAAGCTTCAGACAGAAATTTAAGGCAACAGCTGAGTTACGGTACAAGCATATGACAGGTGATGATGTGCTGTAAGAAATCATATTCTCAAACCAGTTTTTCATGACAAAGGGAATGTTCATAAGATGTTAAATGAAAAAACCAGACTGCAGAACTATGATTTCTCGGTGTACAAATATGCAATAAATGGAAATAAATACTGAAAATGTGGTAAGAGACGTGGGTGGTGGGCCTAAGGGGGAATCTACTTCTTTTCTCTTTGTAACAAATCATCTATACCAACATCTACTATTTTTTATCATTAGAATTAAATGTCATTTTGGAAGAACTGCACGGAACAACTTGGCTTTTGCCGAGAGCCCAGCTCTATAGGGGTCATCTTGTTCTTTCAGGCTCCCCGAAGGGCCCTCCTGAGCCACTGCGTCTTCAGGACCCCAGGCAAGCAGAGCCCCAGCCAACGGCCCAACGCACTCAGGAGAGGAACCTCTGAAGCAGACTACGGCCTTCTGCCTCGGCAGAGCGGGAGAGCACACGAGGCTCTGCGTGTCATCTGCAGTCACGCAGAGTAACTGGTTTGTTTCAAAAGATTGTAAGAGGCTCCTTATTGGTAACATGTAATTTTCTGGAGAAAATATTTTGGTTTTCAAAAACAGGAATGAAGTGACAGATGATCTCAAACCTTGTTCTTCAAGCTCCCCATCATGCATTTCCCCATCAAAATCCTCTGACATCTCAATGGCATCATCCTCGCCCTTTATGTCAGATTTTGAGTCAGGATCCTCTTGGTCTTTTTCTTGGCCCTTCCGAAATGTATCTTCCACCTATGTCAAAAAGCATTACAGAAAACATCAATAAATGGTATAAATTGATTAATGTTTCCTTCAGTTCAGGAATATAAATGCCATGGTTACAGTATAAAAGTATCTTGGGAAAGAGGAAGAGCGCCAACAGAGACACCCACGTGGAATAACGCATAAAAAGTTGGTTTTAGCCGGGCTCAGTGGCTCAGCCTGTAATCCTGCGCCTTTGGGAGGCTGAGATAAGTGGATTGCCTGAGCCTGCGGGTTTGAGACCCGCCTGGGCAACTTGGCAAGACCTCATCTCTACAATAAATCAAAAAAAAAAAAAATATTAGCCAGGCGTAGTAGCACCTGCCTGTAGTTCCAGCTACTCGGAAGGCTGAGGCGGGAAGGATCGCCGGAGCCCAGCAGGTCGAGGCTGCGATGGCCAGGAGTGGCCACTGCACTCCAGTCTGGGCGACAGAGTGAGACTTCAACTCAAAAAAATAATAATAATAAATAAATAAATAAATAAATAAAATAAAAAGTTTGTTTTACATTTCTGGAATTTCCACTTTGTTGCAATCATAATCACAGAATATGGAATTCTGCTCAGGTTTTCTTCTTGGGAATTATTATTTTTTTAATTCTAGAGACATTTAAAAAGAATATGTATTCTTTGTAGGATAAAAGTCATCATCAATCTTATTTTTATCTAATTTCTAGCTATCTAGTTTTGTCACTATGAAAGACTGCCCCAATGTAAATGTCATTTGGTTCACTTTTCCTTAATTTATATATTTCTGTACAACCTGTGATACTTGAGACAAAAAGATTCACAATTATTATTTCCTTCATTATGGATGGTTTTTGGAAAGTCCTTTTTATAAAGTACAAAAATTTAAAAATCTCATTTGAAGAATTCTAAGCAAAATAGCAAGATGCTCCCATTCTGGTGCATCTTTGACTTCTGTCCATGAAGACACTGACATGTACTTGGTCAGACAAGTGATACTTATCAACACCTGCTTCCCAACAGCCTTTTAAGTAAAAAGAGGATCATATAAAGTGTTACGTGATCTGTTCTTCTTTAGCTTTAAAAGCATGCCAGGTATGTTTCCATGTTGATGCATGTCCATCTCACGCCATTTAATTAATACGGTAGTCTTGTTCTGTATGGATGGAGCTGTAATTTAAATAATTCCCTCCTCATGAATATTAGGTCTATTCCATAATCTTCACCATCACAAAGAATGCTGCAGTGACTGTTTCTACGTAGGGATACACACACCCTCACATATTTATCTAACTTTGACCCTTACTAGCATTCCTATAAGAAAATATGGAATTGGGTCAATTAAAAACAAATAATTTAAAGTTCAGCAGATACTGTCAAACTGATCTGGTAGCTTTTATCTCACTTAATGATTTTACATGAACTGTACATTTTATTAGGTTTGCATCTTCTTTAACTTTTTGGGTTTTTTTAAAATAAAGTCTCATTCTGTCAACCAGGCTAGTGTGCAATGGCATGACCATAGCTTACTGTGGTCTCAAACTCCAGGACCCAAGTGTTTCTCCTGCCTCGGCATCTTTTTGTTTTGTTTTGTTAGAGTCTCACTCTCACCCAAGCTGGAGTGCAGCAACAGCCACCACAGGCCTGACCTGTTGGGTTCAGGCAGTCCTTCCACCTCAGCCTTCCAAGTAGCTAGGGCTCCAGGTGTGCACCATCACGCTCAGCTAATTATTTATTGTAGAGTGGAGGTCTTGCCAAGCTGCACTGGCTGGTATCAAACCCTTAGGCTCAGGCAGTCCTCTCGCCCCCACCTCCCAAACTGCTGGGATTACAGGTGTGAGCCACTGCGCCTGGCCCCTCTGCATCTTTTTTCAGTTAGAAAAAGTAGAATGTGTAATTAAGTAACTTGAGAAATACAGAGCTCTGCCACATAAATGCTAGCATTCCTCTTTGGTTTTTTATCTCTTTCCAGTTTTTCCTGCCAAGAGAGGGACTCTGAATTAGTTTGTTCCTTCATCTTTTTTTTATTTTTTTTTGAGTTGGATTCTCACTCTGTCGCCCAGACTGGAGTGCAGTGGCTGCTCCCGGCCACCGCAGCCTCGACCCGCTGGGCTCCGGCGATCCTTCTGCCTCAGCCTTCCAAGTAGCCGGAACTACAGGCATGTGCTACCACGCCCGGCTGATTTTTTGATTTATTGTAGAGATGAGGTCTCACGGTCCAGGCGGGTCTCGAACCCGTGGGCTCAGGCAATCTACTCACCTCAGCCTCCCAAAGGCGCGGGATTACAGGCTGAGCCACCGAGTCCGGCTTGTTCCTTCATTTTTAAGCTACAATACTACCCGAAATACACATTTCTGATCCAATTTAACTTAGACCTTAGATCAGGCATTTGAAAAAGCATGTGAAAATTTAAAAAGCATTCTTGATTCTAACCATAAAAGGATATTGGTTTAAAAATTTTAATGGGCCCTTAAGACATACAATAAAAAAGGCAGCTATCAGCCGGGTTCGGTGGCTCAGCCTGTAATCCTGCGCCTTTGGGAGGCTGAGGTGAGT